GGCCGGGGGTCGGCGCGGGGGCCCCGGAGTCGGGGCTCCGGCCCCGGGGCCCCCGCGCCGACCCCCGGCCCAGGCCCAGCATCGACGGAAAGCCTTTACGACCACCTTCTTCACAAAGAAGGCACTAGGGAAACCGTTCCTGCTCTGTTTTCCGTTTATTTCTAGATTCGACCGATACCAGCGGTGATTTTATGCTGTAGTTTCAGTGGTATTAGTAATGTTTGGGCCAGGATTTCAGCCTCCTGAATGATCCTGACAAACATCCTAATTCAGCAGTATGACTGCGCTTTTCTTCCAGAGTAAGGAATTCGAAGAATATTGTTACAGTGAAACAGTAATGCCAACAAATTTCTCCGGGTAGAGAAGACTTTGGGACCTGTTAAGCATATCTAGCATTGACCTCCCTTGAACATAACTCTTGGCAGGTAAACAACAAACAAAATGCTGTCAATACTTTAAAAACAAATGGATTTGTAGAGATTATATTTTTCCAGAATATATTCATCATAAGATCATATTAGTTCATAATAAAACAAAGATTGGGGCTAGGCCTGGTCTCTCACCCCATATCAAAGATGTGGGACAAGGGCTGAGGAGAAATGGGTCCTTCATCTTCATTTTCCCTGTCTCCGTGGGACTGCAGCCGTCTCTACCGTAGCTCGATGTTCAGAGGAGATCACTAGGTGGGGAGATTCTTGAGACCTGTGGTTCACCTATGCCTTCAGCCTCCATTTCAAAACTGTTTAGGCTTCAGACATCCACAGGAGCCGCTGCTTGTATCTGCCAGTGATCGGCAGCAAGAGGCAATGCCCACGCCACCATCCAGGCTCGTGGTTTGGAGGGGAGAGAGGGAACTGCAGGAAACGAAGGTGAAGCTCAGGTCTCTCTTCAGGTGAGGATGCGGTGTGAACCATCCTGTGATTCTGTGAAAGATGCTGGCTCTGTTTTCTTATTCAGGATCTATCCCAATTACTGTTAGCTAAAAATGCAAGTAGCTTCCTAAGCAAAAGCAGAGACAGTGGAGCAAAAGCCAATGACTGCCCTAAATACCTTCTTTTTAGACCACATGGAGGCAAAATTTGAATGCCTCTACATACCCGGAGATTTGAAACACTGAAGGGAAGCACATTCGAAGCGATGGATCCAATATAAGAGTTAAGTCGCCTGGGCTGGGATATTCATTGCCCATGCTTCAGGTTGGGAGAAAACAGTGGTGGAAAAGGCAGAACCTCCTGAGCAGGGATCTCCCAGGAGAGGACAGGCCTGGGATTCGAGGGGCGTTGGGGTAAGATGTCTTCTCGTAATTGTAGCCGTGCTAGCTCAGGAGGTTACTGCTCCTCTGTGCTCATTGCTGCTCTGTTAAAGGCTGCTAAGGGTTAGCTGAGCTGTTCATGGGCTGGCAAAAAAACCCTACTGTTTAAAGTGATTAACTGGTTATCTTCTTCCCTGAAATGAAGTAGGAAGCCAGGCCGGTAGATGTGAGTAGGCAACGAGCAGCAGTTGGTGGCAGTAACCTCTTCAACAGTGCAAGTACAGCCAGAAGATGCAGAACTACACCTAAAGTGATAAATAGCCTGCAGAAGGCTTCTTGTGTGTTTTTAGGTCAGTTAGGACTATACCACAGCTGTATCGCCAGCTTCAGGTGTGCCCTATCCATGCCGTGACAGTACATTAAAAGGAAGAATTACAGAAGCCTCAGTTCAGATGCTACGCAACCACCTTGCATTACTCACTGGGAGAGAGGCAGCATGGCCTTCAGCCTCAGCACGCTTCCAAGTCTTTTCAGTCTTCCTGTATGACTTCAGCAAAGCATGTCCTTATGCCTCAATTTCTCAATCCGGAAAAGGGGAGCAGTTTTTAATCGCCAAATAAGGCTGCTGTGAAGTTAAATTAATTACTGCAGATAAAGAGGGTTACGTCCTTTGAAGGCAGGTGTTAAACAAAAGCAAAGATTTATTACTAAAGGAACATGATAGGTCCATTTGAACTTTGTTCTGGAGACCGCAGTATTTATCGATTAGTAGCTTTTGGCAGGGGGGGAAATTGTGCAGATGACCTCAGGGAAGTAAACTACAGGAAGGTGTATGTGAAGGCGTTCATGCTTTTGCTAACGTTATTGTAAATCTTGATCCTTTAATAAAGCTGCGACCTTGGAGTTGACAACTAGTATGCCACAGAGCAATATATAGCATGGCACCAGCCTTGTAAATCTTATGTAGTTTTTGCCATTGACATAGACAACATGTAAAGAGAAATCAGGCAGCTGAAGTTTATGAAACGTATTTATTTGAAGGAAAGCATTTTAAATCAGACGTTTTAGATTAAATGAAACCAATGGCCCTGCCAACTTTTTATTCCTTGTGATAAAATGTGTTTGTGAAATGAAATCTCACCAGTGAAAACTTGTAGAACTGCTCATAAAATTTTGCCATTTGCAGGGGGCAACTGCCACTGAAGAGGTCCATTTTAGATCACCTTTGCACAGCTATTGTACGATTTTGTACAACTATTATTTTGGTTGCTTTCTTGACAATGCTGCTGCTGCAAGAACAGCACATCTCCTTGCCAATATGAACAAAAAAATATGATTTGTTCTGTGGGAGCGGTGAAAGATGGATGTGAGCAAAAGGGGAACGACAAAGCTGTATAACTGCAGGGGGATCAGAAGGTGGCATGTCCAAGGGGAAGGACATCTTCTGCTCTTGCCAGATGTATCTGTATCACGACCAACAAAGAACACTTGCAGCCACAGACAAAAATAAGGACAACACTCTTATGGTGGCAGCTTATTTCATACGTATAAAAAGTTCTCTATATACATTTTTTAGATGTGCAGGAAGCCATATATCCAATAACTTTTTCCCTATATTTTTGGCTACTTTGCTCTGGCAGAGCAGATTTTTTTTTCTTTTAGTTACTCAAATGTTCCCACAAATTGACCCTTTGGAGCAGCACTGTCCATCTTTTTTTTCTGAATGAGGAGTTTTCATTCCCAAGGACAGTTCTCAAACAGAAAGGAAAGCAGCTTCCCCAGGCACGTGAAACATTGAATCTTTCTCTTGCCAAAAAGGAGCCACTTTCTGATTCCAAGAAAAACTAGTAAAGTCTACTGGGAGTGTCCTTGTTAACATGTTACCATGTGATTAAAGCTACTTTAATCACTGTATGTGCTTCTATGCGTTAACATGAATTTTAATTTCTTACAGATCAACTGCATCTTTGAAAGATACTACGTTATACTGTACATGTAAAAAACTGTACATACTTTTTTAATTTACGTAGTAAGAATACAGGTTAGTTAAAAAACGCTGTCACTCTCTTGAATAGGTTTCTATTTTTTTATTATAAACATAACATTCACTTCTTGCTGTCCTTTCAAGATGGCTTTCACTTACCAACTTTGCTAATTTTGAGTCTGCTCTTGCACAGTAAATGGAAACTTATGTGCAGTCTTATGGGGTCAGTAATACCATCCTTGACAGTAGGTAGTATGCATGACACTGTTTTAAGGGGAGGTTGTTCCAATTTGTTTGGTCCTGTAGCATCTGAAAAGCTGCTGTTTGTCATCTACCTCCAGCATTGCATTGTCATCATCAAGGTGCAAGGGACTGGCCTTGCTCCTGGAATGGAGCTGCAAACAAATAGGAGAGGCTGCTGTCAAAGCACAGTGTTTCTGTATACTGGACTGGCAGCGAGTTCAGGACCATTGTGTTTTAGGCAGAGAAATTGACAATATTTTCTTTTATCCTTACAAAAAAAAAAAAACCCACAACACATTTTTGTAAATGAAGCTGAAATTTATTTTAAAAAGAATTTAAAAACAAAACAATGCTTAAGAAGAAAAACCCACATTTTTAGGTCCACACAGGTTACTAACACTCCATTAATTGCAAAAGGCTAAATTTTAATGACTGCATTTATCTACAGAACATGTTCTTCCACTCTTTTGCAGTAGTCCTTATGTGCTGTTTGGATGACTCACGTGCACATATTCTAAGAATGACCCATCCAGAACTCTTTCAACAAGAACTTCTCCAACAGTGTTTATGTCCTGACAGAATAAAAGGATATTTTATTGACTATCAAGATAGTAATTAATGTGTTAATAGATTTAATTTTGGCTGCTTGGGTTACCAGTTAACAAAATACTGGTTTTAGTAGGTTTACATCCATGTTTAAAGTTTACTGCCTAAACTTCTACTCCTTAGTGGTAAACACTACAACATAAAGCAAGAGAAATCATTATGAAACTTGAAATAAATGAGAATGTCAAATGCAGAAACAGATTAATTCAGTGATTATGCAAAACCCAACAATGCTAATGCTTTTTATTAGAGAGTCCAATTTGGTGATGCATGTTATATTACTGTGTATAGAAATAAATACTCAAGTCTTAGCTATACTTTATGAAGCTATGTATGTGTGAGCTATCATTAAAGTGCTATCATACATAAGTCTGTTTCCACCATGTGCATGAATTATAGGTTCAAATTATTAAGATGGTTCTTCACCCCTGCCCTCCATTCGGACATCATTTTCTTCAGTGCTTTTGCACCACTTGAAAAAAATAATGTTTTATATCTTTCTTTGGGATTTTGTCTGAATGAGTATCAAATATCAATATAGGAAAGCACTAACTAATATTCTTGAGAAATTTTACCAGCATGTTAGTGCTTGTGCTGCATTTTCTATTTTACAGCCCACTCAGACAGCAAACAGCTGCAGTACCTTTCAGAAGTACAGCTGTGTCATCTTAGGCTCTTATAGAACAAAAATGGGTTGTTGAAACAACTCTCCTTTAAAGAAGTATGTAGGTTTTCATTTGAGAATCTCCAAGTCATTTATAAACATGAGTAGATGCATAATACCTGTTAAGAAATGAGGTAACGGAGTACCTTTCCGTTGTCCCACCATTAGTCAGCAACAGAACTGAGGACAGAATCCAGAAGTTGGCACCTCTGAGTACCAGACTATGCTGTCTCTGTACAGATCTGCCACGCCTTGTGACACAGCTATCTGCTCAGTTCTTTTGATACCTTCTTGATTGTAAAAGGTGTGAAAGAAGATACACACAAAGAAATCAAGTCCAGTAGTTTGCAAACACCATTACTCACTATGTAGTCTTCATAATGGAGTGTATGTCTGAGTTGAAGATGCCTTATAAAATTTCTGCTGAAATAGCTTGGATCTCTCCCAGGTGTTAAACAACAAATTGGACAACACTATAAATAAACGGAAGGAATTATTCAATTTTCCTCTTGGA